TTTTCGCAACTTGGTCATAATGGTAGGAAGACTTATAGAAACGCACCTTGTCCTGAGTCCATTGTATGCAGAATTATTTCCAAATAAAACTTGTCTATTTGACTAGTTGTAATATAGTGCTACGAATGGTAAAACTCACTGACGATGCCGTCGAAACGTCTGGGAATGTAATACGTTCACGGTCCGACTTTGGAAATAATTATGCATACAATTGACTCAGGACAAGATGCGTTTCTATAAGTCCTTCTACCATTATGACCAAGTTGCGAAAACAAGGTCAAACAACTTCATCATGCTAAGTTTCTATATAATCAAAATGGAAATCTGAATTAGCTGTAAGAACGAGTTCACCAAGAAGTAATATCCTGGCCGAAGCAGAGATTAGCTATACGAACAAAAACACATGCTTTCAATGTTGCAAAATGCACTCGCCAAGTTCTGTAGATCAAAAGTGTACTTGTAAAGAGTTTAATCGAAAACGGACCAACTAAATGGCGGAATAAATCTAGCAATGAAAAATCATGTTGTTGAATAAAATGCCAGCATTAATTATCCCACCTTCATTGGCAGATCGACACCAGATGAGCTTCGATGAAGGCTAACGCCAAGGTCCGCGCATCCGAGTAGTCTAGGATAATCAATCCACTCTAGCCAAGGCATGAGCACCTCCACTTTACGCCAAGTACGTCTTGCTACAACTGAGCTATAGAAATCTTTGAGGGGCCCGCGCCCTATAAGAATATAAAAGTGTAAGGTAAAAGTGATGACAAAAGTGATCTTATGTCAAAAACATTAGTAAATGTTATTAATAGTTAGTTGGAATATAAGCGATTTGGTGTTATAGACTCATATTTGATATATCTATAATCAATTAAACTAAACTTGCCAATCAATTTAACTAAATCTTATATCGCTATTGTCCTGTTTTGAACAGCAGTTACGATTACATCCGAGTATTATCGGAGAATCCATAAATAAATTTGCGCGTTATTAGTCAGATACAACAGCCCATTAGACCAAATACCAAGGAACTACAGTACAGATAGTAGTTGCAAGTAAATATTCTTGGATAAGTTACTCTTGAGTAATAAAGCAATATCGTTAAAGCGACCATTTAATCCAAAAAGAGTAATCTATGATACAAGATTTTATTCCTAAGCAATCAAAAATTCCAGTTCGAAGTTAAAGATATATTACTGACAGCATGGTGCCGTAGTCTTTACCTGAAAGTTACACAAGCTTGAATATAGGAGTAGTCTTGGCGTCCTGAAGTGGACCTCAACTGATGTTGGCGAAACCTAGTGGCGTTGTGGAAAGTGAAGCACGCTTTTGGGATATATGGTTGAAATATAGCCTTTTCCTTGATTAATCGTAAAGATGATAAGAAATTCAGCTTCCCTTTCAAGCTTCATAGCTTATAAGTGACATTTTTCCTGTAGAATATCGAGATTCGATATTCTGGAGGAGGCAAAACAAATGATAAAAGTAAGCTCATCTAGGACCTATGGTCCTACAAATATTGTACATAAATAATTAGTGAAAAGCTTACAATTTTAGAAATCATTTTTTTTCAGTAATAAGGAAAAGAAGCATCAAAATACGGCATATGGAAGGAATAAATTCCCCCGGTTTAGTAATCAGTGAAATTCTTAAAATTCTAGAAGCAAATACGAAAGGTGCAAAGGTCACAGTAAGCACATATGATAAACCCAATTAGCACCAAATGGAGCCTGTAATGATCGCTCGCCTCCATTTTAAAATAGTCTCCGAATAGCACATAAAGTCCGAACTAGCATAGTCTATAACTTCAATTCAGATGCAAAGGGTATCACACCAATTATTAGAGGGATTTTGTGGAACATCATGACAGAGGGGGTGAAAGGAGGCCACAATTTGAAAATCCCTGGTGGATGAGCAAAGACCAGTTGATATCGTTTGGAGGTATAAGCTTACTTTGATCAAATCCAGATAATCCCAATAGTTTTGAAAGCAAACATGTAGATAGAATACATGAAATGCACCCATGAGAAGATGAGCACTTGCAAAGCAAATCCTATATTTAGGCTGAACCATACGTTGAGCAATCCAACGGGTCTAGCACTATTAAAAAATGAACTTCGTCTCTAGCAATGAATAAGTCTCTCACAGCAACAGAATCAGGTGGTTTGAATAATGGTGCATCAAGAATTGCTTTGCTTACAATAACTATTATGCACAGACACAATGAAAATTATAGACAATCGTTTATATTTTTGCGAAAATTAGCAGCAAAGTATTACTTTGATTGTCCTCAAACGAAGTGCTTAATAAAAGCGAATTAATTATAGAAAGAGATTTCAAAGAAAAGAGCACTAAACAAATTGCATATGGTCTTTCAACTTACCTGAAACAATACAAATTATCCTTGGCAGGTTCAAGACCCCTTCACCAGATGCCGCTTGAGAATCATACAAGTCCAAGGCTTCAAGCAGGACAGAAAAGTCATCATCAGGTGACCAGCTACAACTGCTGACTATTAAAGCAGGCCTATCCAAACGCCAACGGAATGCGTCGCCAGAGGTCTGAATCCAGGACAAACGTTCAGTGAGCCGAGTTCGTCTATGAGACCCTTCAGGGTCTGCAAGTTGAGGATATTTCGTAGACAGCCTGGTACATATAAGTGAGAATAAGTAAGAAAAGTTGTATGAATAATGGGAATATTCAAATATAGAGATTAATGTCTAAATGAAATAATTGGTTAAAGTAATGTTCATAATCGCTTCAATGCCTCTATGACAAAGTTGATTAATGAAGTCTGTTAGGAAGAATTCACAAAATCTCAAGTCATGGAAACAAATATAAGAAATCATGACGGCGACTTAGGCATGCTTAAAAATGCTATCTGCTTTATAGGTCTGACAACAAGTTAGCCAATATTCCTCACAAATATCACTGAAATATGATGTTAAATCAGCTATAAAGAGTTCTGTGCAAAACTAACCAAAACAAGACAATGCAAAATTATGTATGCTCAATCCGGTTACCATCCATCACAGACGTCGACGCGTAAATCAATTTATCTATATTCCACCTTGCATAGGATCATGTGATATTTTAGTTATGCGAAATCAAATTCGACAAGGCTCATCTGCTATAAACTGCAGCAGAAATGATAACCAATTTTGAATATCTAAGGGCAAAAATCCCTCATTATATAACAGAGGAAAAACAATAATG